GTGGGCTGCATCCATAGTGTCCGCAGGATAAGGTACTCAGTCTTATCCTTATACTATAGATCATTCTGACTATATACTTGAACTTGATTCACTCTTATGTCTCTACATATAGTTTAAGTAATCCTACTATAGCAGAGTATTCTTAGTTTATTGGATTTAGATTAATGATCGTAAAGTTCACTTTATTCAATAATAATCCTTACTGAATAAACAACAATAATAACTTTATTGAAAATAAAATATGTTTTTGTTTACCAACTATGAATTTTAGGACATAAAATCCAACATAGATGTGATCCCACTCATGATGAGTGAAAATGATTACAATTGAGATGAGATTCCACTCATGATGAACCCATGCTCATAATCATTTTGATGGTTGAAGAGGAGAGCTCGAGTGAGCTTATCACAATAGAGATCCAATGGTTGCAAGAGAAACAATAGAGATCCAATGGTTGCAAGAGAAACATGGCGATGCATGGCTAGAAAGTCAAACTAAGGGTTTATCTCTATCTAGAGGAATAAATCACTCAATTGAGTTATTATCAAGAATGAGACCGCCCGCCAACAATGTGTGCCATTTAGCTAAACCTGAGTCAATTGAACTTCATAAGCAGGTAAATGACTTGCTAAATGTCAAGTTTATTAGACTTGCAAAGGCTTAGTCCAATCATCATCTGTTGTTGGCGAGAGGGCCTAATCCTAAAACTTCACCAAAGTATGGACAAACCATTGAAGTCACTCATTCAAGGGGCTAGTCAATAACGTAGTCCACACAAATTTTAAGATGGAGATAAAGTTCTAATCAAATTGAAATAAGATCAACTTCGATTCTGTTGAGCTCCCTTGAATGAACACTAACCTTATTGTCTATGTTAATAACTTAAAACGTTACCACCCGATCACAAAGACATCAGATACAATGAGGTGACACGAGCTCCTGCAACGATGAAGAATCCTATTGAGAATGAAGCAGAAGAGATCTTGACTGAGAAGATACAAAAAATTCGCAAATTGAGAAGAGATGTACAAGAGTTCCCGGTAAATTGGAAGAGATTCCCTGGTGTTGAGATCAATTGAAAACGTGTCGAAAGACATGAAGTTAACCACAATATGTATTTCTGAGTTTGGTGTTAAGACATATTGCCTGCGACCTCGTGACCAATCCAAAACTCTTTTATCTTGCTTTCATATTAATTAATTTTTGTGTATGACTCTTGTCATTTTGATGTCTACTACTGCTAATTTTCCTCAAAATGTACTATAAGGGATGCAACTAGTTGTCAATTCTTTTAATCTGAGTTATATGTTAATCTTATCAGTTATTAATGTCGTCGTATGCGCCCTCTTGAACTTGAACTCCCCACTACTATTGAGAATGAGTTGCAAGCAAGGTAGAGAGACGTAGAGCCACGAGACGAAAATCTCATTTTTGCCCATACTTCCTCTCCAAAGGTAGACAACAAGGAAGTCTAATGCAAGGGCCTAGTCTTCTTGCTTTCTTGCTTGTTGAAAGCCCTCGTAGGAATAGGAAAGGAAGTTCGAAGTCTAAAGGGGATAAGCACTACGAAGTCAGAATGACTATAGCATTCATTAATCAGTCATAAGCTGCAAGAGAAGACATAGAAGCCAGAGTCATGTATTTTGAAAGAATGTGCCCGTTTTTTTCCCACTCGTTGAGTCGAAGAGTGAACCCCTAGCTCTTGTTCGTTTACTAATACTAAAAAGGGAGGCAGTTGAATTGAGGAAGTTCAAGTTAGCAGCTCAATTGGATCCCATATTCATATTCTCCACTCCTTGGGAAGTTAGGGATTCCATTTCACAAGGATAGCTTCAAGTTAGAGCTATATAGTAGGTTAGTTGTCAATTTCTACCCTTGATTTCTTAGTTGTTAAAGAAAGAGCATTTGATAGATCAGTTAGAGAATGCTTCTTGACCAAAAGGTCTGGTAGTTAGAGTTAGGAAAGCTAGGTTTCAAGGAAAGAGCCTTCGTGACCCATTTTTCTGTCATCATATGGAAGATTGGCCTTAGAAGGGATTCATTATCGATTTGAAGTATGTCACACTTCCCGTCCTAATTCAGCTAAGGTAGTAAAGTATGAAAGTAGAAAGCTAGTAAAGTCTTTCAAACAAATGTCATCGACTTTCCTAAAATTCAGACTAAGATTGAGTCCAGCTCTCTTCCGTGGTAAGATACTCTTTGATCTTATCCATTTTTAGCAGCTGAGTGATCTGTAGGCTCTGCCCGATAGCTTAGTGGGGTAGCAGCTGTTGATGACTAAGTAACCATTTAATTACCATTGGCCTAGAGCGCAGAAGGGAGAAAAGCCTAAGTCCCAACATAAAAGAACCTTGGGTCACTAAAGACCCTTCACTAATTCCTTGCAAAAAGCCCTGATTTACTATATTCTGGTAGGGCCTAGGATTTAGAAAGATATGAAAGTAGCGTGCTTCAAATCAAATTGTTGAGAGGCGGCCTAAGAGCAAGAAATCGATTAAGCAAGTAGCAAGTCATCTTTCTCTTTTGGTTGCAAGTCATATAATCTTCGTAAAAGACCTCAAAGACCTTTCTGTGAGATAGCAAGTAAGGGCTGACATATGACATATGAAGATTGAGTGGTACTCAAGATGTCAAGTCTCTACTTTAGCCCACTTCTACGGATCCTGTAGAGGCAAGAAGTTAGTCATAAGATAAGTAGGAGCTTCGAGATAGACTTAGACGTTAGTCCTGCGATTTAGAAAGTAGTCTTGATTCCCCGTGCTCAGTGAATTTGCTATTTCAAGGTCCCCGGCTCTTTGATTGAGAGGGACGTAAGGAAGAAGAAAAAAATGAGTTGAGGTTTCCATTTAATGAAGTGAAGGGGAGAGTGAAGACTGAGCAGGAAAGCACTACGAAGTCCATAAGGCAAGTCTAATTATAATTCATTGCAAGCCCTAAATGCATCTAAAGTCGTAAATTTAGTCAAAACCCTTTGATTCGATTCCTCTTAGGCTAACTCAGTCTAAAGTGATATATTCTTTTCTTTGTTTTGATTCCTCAGCGGAAAGATCATATTATCAGAGTAGGCCACTAACAGATAAATAGGCTTTTCAAGCAGTAGAATAAAATTGGATCCGTTCTGCCCTTCTCTTCTAGTTTCAATCTGTTATCTTATCCCGCAGAAGTAGCCCTCAAAGATGAAGTAGCAGTGGAATTACCATAAGTTTGATCCTGAGATAGGTAAGAAGTGAGAAATTCAAGACTTGGGGCCCTTTGGCCTTCATTTCTGGGTGACTAAAGAAGATTGAACCTAATCAGTCTGTCTAGTAGGAAGTTACAGGCTATTTCCTCCTATTCGATTCCTAGTCCCTCCAGAATCAATTATCTAGTCAAGGTAGTTGAAAGCAAGAGATGGAAAAGTCTACTCATCAGTTGCGAGGGAGCTAGTTGAATCAAACTCTCTTTCTTATTACCTCTGAACCGGAAGACTGAGCAAAAGAAGTTCGAAGAATGAAAGGTAGATTATGAGGAAGTTAGTCTGTTTATTTAGGTTAGATAAAGATAATTGCTTGCGACTGCCATTACGACTTTCTACAACAGTCTAATTGTCACTATTGCTCTTTCGAGTCTGCTAGAGTCCTGTTAATCGTAACGGGACACTGGAAGTAGTCTTTTTAGTTATTTTTTAGTAGGCCATGTCTGTCAGTCAATACGACTTGCTTTAAGGCCTTTACTTGCTTTTGAAGTAGGCTAAGTAATGTTTTCCAGTATCAAAGCTAGCCACATGACAAGGATCGGGTCTTGTAACAAGAGAATCCCTTCCGGAATATAAGGCTGTAGGCTCTACTCAATCATCATATCAAGACTGACTTCCTGCTTCAGACTTGGAGTTTCATCCGGCTGCTCTTTGGCTTTTCTGGGCTATTCACTATCAGCAAAGAGAGTCCACCTAGCTAAACGGATTCGATTATCAGGCATTCAGTCATCAGTAGCTTCTTCGATGAAAAGCCATCCTAATTCTGATGAAAAGAGGTTCATCCCTAACCTTTGAATGTGAAGCGATTAACAGGCTTTTTGAGGTTATTCATTCCCCGGGGTATTTGAATGGATTAAGAGGGCACATAGGAGATCCTTGTTCGAGGGTATTCATTCCCCCGGGTATTTGAATCAATTCTTGCTGCTTATTTCATGCTATCTTATAACATTTTTTTCCTACATTGCTTTCCAAACATTTTTCAAAACTTTCTCTACCATCATTTTTCAAAAACAGTTTTTTTTAGAACTTTATCTATAGGGTTTTTTTTAGAACTTTTATCTCTCTCCATTTTCTAAAAAAGAGTGGAGTTGAAAGTTTGGGCATATGTAGTCGGAGTTAACAGTGACCCAAATTTTAGTTGGCTGACTCACTTTATTGACAAGAGTGAGTACCACACATCACACTATAGAGTCCCAAATAAGTGCAATTGTGGCAACAAACAACCGCAACCTCGTAAAGACATCAGTTAAACCTTAAGATTCGAGAAAATTAAGTTTGAGAGAACCGTGAAGGATTACCGTCTACAACAAGGTAGTTCAAAATTTATCTTTATTTATTCATTTACTTTATGGAGTTGAAAGTTCATATATACTTTGTATACTAAATATATTCTTCCCTTTATCAAAATTTTAGTCCAATTTAAAAAATAAATATAAATTTTTGGAAACATTTTTTTTTAGTTTTTAAAATTTAATTTGATTTCTAAAATCATAGATAACAAATAAATAAATAAATAAACAAATAAGATAATTTATCCGTGAAATTAATATTTAAAATTGATTTAAAAAATATTAAAACTTGTGCAGGACCTTCTTCATAATAGAAAATTGTGGATTTTGTTCTTCTTTTTTATGATCTTTGACCAAAAAAAATCCTATTTAAATGGAATTAAGGTCTTTAAAAATTCTATTCCACAGGAATTTAAAAATTGACATATAAACACATCCACATGAATTGATTCAAACCCATTGTTCATCTTCATCTTCATGGGAATATGAATGAAAGTCGCGTGATGAACACGCGGCATAAAGAAGAAGAAAAGTCCACCAAAGCGAGGGATTGAAGTGTTCTAAAGAAGAAAATGATATGAAATTAGTATTAGTAAGCATGATGGAGGGGAGGGTGGGGCGAGGCTTCTCGGGGGCTTTGACCACACACCCGCTTGCCTATGCTCATGCTTATGCTTATGCCGCAGACTTCTTCCTCCTCTCTTTTGATTTTTGTAAGCTGCCTTCCCTGACTTTCCTCTCCACTCGCCTTTTCTCCCCTTCCCATTTCCCCTTTCTTCAATCGCTTCAACATCATCGCCTCTCCATACCCTTTTATTCTTTCACTAAACCGCCGGAGTTTCAATCTCCCTTTCTTCTACATCCATCTACGCTTCCCAATTCTTTCCTGGTTCGTCTTTTCCTCTAAGTTCCTACGTTTTTACCCCTTTTTCTATCTGGGTTTCTTATAGATCTTCAACACCACTTTACTGGACTTGATTTAGTGTTTCTTCTTTGTGTGTAATGATTGTGTTTGGGTGTCTTGTGGATGGAAATTGATTTTTTACAATATGGGTTTTGGTGATAGCTTCATAATTCTTCTTCTTCATGTGTTTGTTTAGATTTTCGATCTTTGAACTCTGTTGTTTAATGCCTATGGTGGATGGATTGGAGCTTCAAATTGATTGACATTTGTTTCGTTAGGGGTTTAGATTAAAATTGTGGACGCAGGACAAATATAGTTTGGTTTGTTTTTGTACACAATGGGTGGAGTTTGTTCAAGAACAAGAACCACTTCTGATGATATTGGTAGCAGTAACGGTGGTGGAGGGGTTGGTGATTCTAACAATGAGTTGGGCATGGTTCATCATACATATGGACTGCCCTCCAAACTTAGTGATTCCACCCCTGCTGTTGCTGTTGCTGATTCCATGAATAAGGCGTTACGAGAACCATTTTCGTTCCCGGAGGTGAATGCGGTGGTTCCATATGGATTGGACGATATCAACGATGGAATTCCTCGCTTATCTCGAACGTTATCTCAGAAATCTAGATCAACCAAGTCGAGACAAGCTGTTGCAAAGGTAATAGCACCCACATTTTGCTTGCAACTCTACAATGGAAGAGTTTAATAAATGAATTGCGTTTGTAATATTAGGTTTCAGAAATGAGCTCTCTTCTAGGCAGAGCTGGTACTGTTGGGCTAGGAAAGGCTGTTGATGTTTTGGATACACTTGGTAGTAGTGTGACAAGTTTGAACCTCGGTGGTGGTTTCACCTCAGGGGTGACAACAAAAGGGAACAAAATTTTAATCTTAGCTTTTGAAGTTGCCAACACCATTGTGAAGGGTTCTAGTCTAATGCAGTCGCTCTCAAAACGTAACATCAAAGTCTTGAAGGAGGAAATGCTTCCATCAGAAGGGGTCCAAAATTTAATATCAAGAGACATGGATGAACTCTTGAGAATTGCAGCAGCAGACAAGAGGTGTTGTTAGTTACTTCAATATACTATTTGGATCATTCTTTGAACTCAAAACTCTGAAAAATATTAATTCTCTCCTGTGAATTCTGGCAGAGAAGAACTGAAAGTTTTCACTTGTGAAGTGATTCGCTTCGGAAATCGTTGTAAAGATCCTCAATGGCATAATTTGCATCGCTATTTTGATAAGTAACGTCTGATGGAATCCTAGCCTCCCGTTTTCCTGGTTTCTATATTATAATAGTGTTCGATGTCGTGTTGTGTTTGATTATTGTATACTCAGGTTAGGTTCAGAAGTTACACCACAAAAGCAATTGAAGGAAGATGCTGAGGCAGTGATGCAGCAGTTGATGACATTTGTACAGTACACAGCCGTGAGTATATATCTATCTTTACTGTTGTGAAGTATGTTGCTTAAAAGACAACAAAATATTCTCTTTGTTTGCAGGAACTTTATCATGAGTTACAAGCCTTGGACAGATTTGAACAAGATTATCGGCGCAAGCTTCAAGAGGAGGATAGTTCGAACACGACGCAAAGAGGTAATTAGTGACTTCAATTATGTAGTGATGAAGCTGAATTTCTCCTAGTTTGATCACTTTGTTGCATATCACTTCGACATACAGGAGATAGCATTTCGATCTTAAAGGCGGAGTTAAAGAACCAAAAGAAGCATGTTAGAGGTTTGAAGAAGAGATCTCTCTGGTCCAGGATTCTCGAAGAGGTACCAAGTTCTGTTGTTTATACCTCATCATACCGTGTATGTCATTTGATGGATATTATGCGTGAATTCATTGGGAAGTTACCATCTCATGTACTTACAAATATGGAGTTATGGGAAGAGTAAGATAATATAATGAATGTATTCACAGGTGATGGAGAAGCTTGTGGACATAGTGCATTACTTATATTTGGAGATTCATGAAGCCTTCGGTAGTGTCGGTACGCATTTAAAACGTTGGATAACTTGTACATAATTTAGCAAATGCTTATTGGGTTATGGAGCCTGCTACTTATTTATAGCTTAGTCAACGGTTATATGGTAGATAGTTATATATAGTAGATGATTATATCTGTGGAGTTTGCGTGTGATGTCCCACATTGGTTGGGGAGGAGAACAAACCACCCTTTATAAGGGTGTGGAAACCTTCCCCTAGCAGACGCGTTTTAAAAGCCCAAAAAGGACAATATCTACTAGCGGTGGATCTAGGCCGTTACAAATGGTATCAGAGCCAGACACCGGACGATGTGTCAGCCTTCTCGCTGTTCCCCGAAGGGGGGTAGACACGAGGCGATGTTGCCAGTAAGGACGCTGGGCCCCGAAAGGGGTGGATTTGGTGACGGTCCCACATCGATTAAAGGAAGGAGTGTCAGCGAAGATGCTGAGCCCCGAAGCGGGGTGAATTGTGATGTCCCACATTGGTTGGGGAGGAGAACAAACCACCCTTTTTAAGGGTGTGGAAACCTTCCCCTAGCAAAGAGGACAATATCTGCTAGTGGTGGATCTAAGCCGTTACACTGCGGCTTATTTATAGCTTAGTCAACGGTTATATGGTAGATAGTTTTATACAGTAGATGATTATATCTGGTAAAGCTATATATATTAAAATGAATCATATATATCTCATCAAGCGAGCTTTGAAAATATACTTTTTGAAAATGTACTCTCTTCCTTCTCTGTATTCATTCTTAGTCTACATATCTTAAGTCATTAATAAAACCTTTAGCCAATATTTCTCTTTGCATTCTCTCTCCTATTCTTCATGTTCATCTTGATCGAGTATGTGCGTTTTTGTCCGATCCTAACATTCCTAGGGGATATTGAACGCTCAGCACTTTGTTCATTTTAGTATATTTTTGCACTTGGATGTTGTAGATGATGAAAAACCAGCCAAAGGTTCTCAGAATAGCCACAAAAAGTTAGGGACGGCTGGTCTCGCTTTGCATTATGCAAATATCGTTAGTCAAATCGATACACTTGTGAGTATCAGCTTCCAAATTCAAATTTTTTGCACGTTTTTGTTCCGAAAATATTCTGAATTAGCATACGTTCTTGAATCAGGTATCTCGTTCGAGTTCCGTACCTCCTAACACAAGGGATGCTTTATATCACGGACTACCTCCCAGTATAAAGTCGGCTTTACGCTTAAAACTACAGACGTTTCAGCCCAAAGAAGAGGTACTTGTGAATCTTACTAAAAACATTACTGATTATGATGTTTTGTTAGAACATATTAATTTTGTGGATTGGTTGTTGCAGCTTACAATTCCTCAAATCAAAGCCGAGATGGAGAAAACTTTGCATTGGCTTGTTCCCATTGCCAATAACACTACCAAGTACAACTGCTTCCCTTTGATATACAGCTTACAATTATTATTCTTGAGCTTCATACACATTCTTTTCTTCTTGTTCTTCAGGGCTCATCACGGTTTCGGTTGGGTTGGAGAATGGGCGAATTCCGGGTGGGTTATCGACATGCTATGCTGCTCTCTTATATTCCCCTATTTTTTTCTTTAACTTAATGGAAAAATCTGTTGTTTCAGGGCCGAAACAAACCGAAAGCCTTCTGGCCAGAGCGAGTTACTAAGGATCGAGACGCTCTATCATGCAGATAAAGAAAAAACGGAGTCCTACATCCTTGAACTGGTGTTATGGCTTCACCATCTGATCAGCCAAGCTAGAGCTTGTAATACTGGAATAAGGTCTCCTGTTAAATCACCAATTAGATCTCCGAACCAACGAACGATTCATTTATCGAACCAGAAATCAAATTCTCCATCCTCGACGTTGACGGTAGAAGACCAGGAAATGCTTCAATATGTGAGCAAAAGGAAACTTACCCCGGGAATAAGTAAGAGTCAGGAATTTGATTCAGCAAAAACCAGGTTAAGTAAGTACCATAGGCTAAGTAAAAGCAGCAACCATTCCCCAACCAATGAAACCAAGAAGGATCCGTCCACCCTTCGGAGGCCGAACTCCATCCCGATTATTGATTTTGACATCGACCGTATGAAAGCTTTGGATGTCATCGATAGAGTCGATAATATTGGAAGCTTTTCATAATCGGAGATCAAAGAGCAAGACTTGTTTTTTGGATATGAAAATATGTATGGATGATGGCATGTTTTGATGTGTAGTTGTAGAAATTGTGAGGGGGGGTTTTGTGATATTACTTTCTTACACTTCTGTGTATACAAATACTTTTATTATTTCATAATAATTCAAAGTTATTTACATCCCTTTTTCTATCTCATCGTATCAAATAGTTATATCATTTCATAAACATTTCGCACATATGAAGCATATGGCACGTGCAGAACCATGGAGCACGTGTCATCATACAAACATAAACTTCTAACCAAACATAAACTTCTAACCATACTCATAGTAAGGTCACTTACTTACTGAAGCTACTACGACTCCTTGATGCTAGTTTAACACTACTATCTGAAATTTAATTCTACCTAAGAATTCCATCATATTGTAAATGGGCACTCTAAACTACCTAAAAGGTAGGCATACTGACCTTAAATGTTTTTGCAGAGTTGAAACCAGTAAGAAGAGATCGTCTAAAGCCGTTAGAACATGTATTCTTCGACTAACTTTGTACCATTCAAATGGGATGATGAAATGAAGTAAGGGACCCTTTTATAGTAGAGGCCAACTCCCACTTCTCCCCGCTTAAGCAACATGGGACAAATTTCCCTTTCCTTTTCTTTTTTTCCCCTAATTTATTTTGGTTATTACATCATGCAACTTGGAGGCTATCCTAATCCAAGATGAGCTTATGATTAGCACTTGAATTTTAAGTAGCCAGGTTGCTACCTCAAGATAAATTTTATGACAACTCTCGATCATGATGCTACCTAAAACCAAGAAATAAGCTTCAATTAGCAATATGTTATCTTAAGGCTCAAAGTCAAACAAATAAATATTAGGTTAGCCTTTGATTTTCAAGTAATTAATATACTGCCTTAAGGACATAAATCAAGTCAAGCATGTTTACCACACGACCACGTCCTAAGGTACCCAAACTTGAGAATGACAAGACAATAAATTTTCTAGGTACCACTCAAGATACAAGAATCAAGAATAAGACTTTAGAACAAGAACCAAAGACAAGGACAAGAATAGGACAAGAAAAAGGGTGGTACCTACCATACATTAAGAATACGATTAAGACCTTATAAGTAGGCTACTTACTAAGCCTTTGTACTCACTCTAAGTTTTCTATGTTTTTAGGTAAACAAAGAGTTGGTCGAGGTCGGAAGCGGACTCTAGAGCAGGTGGCATATACAAGCCTTACCTGTCTACTCTTTATTTTGTATTTTAAACTACTTATGTTTTAAGTATCTTGTTTTTATTTTGCGAAAAAATTGTCTTCACACCATCAAGTCAAACTTAAGTTGCAGCTCGTGAAAGTCGGGTTGTGACAAGATGAGCTTTCCACTCGTTTGATGTCTCATTGTCTGTTTGCACATGGGGCCACATCCTTCTCTCTTCTTAATACAATTGTGACACATAGCAATTAAGCAAACAACACCCTTAAAGTATCAATTCAACTAAAATAGCGTGCTCAAAGATTATAATTAAGAGATAAAAGAACATTATATTATAAACGGAATATATAAAGAGAGTTGATATGAACCACAACCAAGGAATTTTCATACCTTAAGATCCAATTACAAGGACGAGAGCTAAGAAGTTACAACAAGCCTTGTACACTTATATTCAAGCTATGATGAGCACATCAAAGGAAATTCTAGAAGACGTTGGAGACTTTCCTTGTAACGACCCTAAATTTTCACCTATCTAGAGTCGCCACTAACGTCTCATGCTCATCTCTAATGCAGAATATAACTCTAAGAATGCTCATCTTTATTAGCGGAAAATTTTAAAGCTTCAGAATACGTTAAAACATTAGAAAACACTGCCAGACTTGCGTGTTTCAAACATTGTGCTGGAGTTCAAAATAAGATAAAACAATTATAAATTAAATAATTTAAATAAATGAAATGCAAACACCCTATCCTAACCAAGGCTAGGAATTTTAAATATGCAACTATCCTATGCACGTGCCACAGTCTCTGATCACGATGCCGCCATCAACCGTATATGGGTGCCTTGCCTTTACCTAAAAAACAATATGACACACGGCCTGAGTATTTTGAATATATACTCAATAAGTGACCACACTATAGGGGCCATGCTAATGCAAACATCATGAATTAAGAACCTATCTCTAATCATCTTAAGGGCGGCCTCTAGTCTCGAACAAATTGGATGTGTAGTACTTCCTTACACACGACTCACACGTGCGAGTGTGAATCTCCAGGGCGCTCGCACACCCCTTGAACCCTCTGGTCAAGCTAATCTGTAGCGACGTCCAGAGGTCAGCGGAACCCCATAGTGTCATGCTCCTCATGAACACCCTCATCTGTGTGCATTCGCACCTGTGCGCATTCGTGCTCATCATACGGTGCGCGTCCGCACTCATCATCTCTAGGGAAAGTAGCCCTATGCTTATGAACATACAATATGCGTGAGGTCCCTCCAAGTTCAATTATACATCTCTTCTGACACAACCCTCTAGTCTCATCTCTTGGTTACACTATGTAACACGTGCTCGCGGATATTAACATTTATATCATTTTCATACTCTTAGGGTTGTGTCCTATGTCGATCTAACGACATGATGCAATATGGCAAACAACATCATAAGGCATGTTCAACATGGAAGACATCATCATGTTAATAACATCGTCATGCATACATCATACTCATCATAGAAGTCATTAAGTGCATTAGATATAACATGTACGTCATGCATCGAAACATAAATAACGTACATTTAACATACATCACAACACAACATCATACTCATACATCATCATAATTCAAACAATCTTTAGCATATCCTATAGTAAGGCCACTTACTTGGTTGGCCTTGGTCGAAGTACTCCCTAATTAGCTAAATGTAAACTCCCGTTTCGTGAGAGCTATTTTCTACGTTGTCGGGGTTTGTTTCTTATTAGACCGTTTGCCACCTTCAATTAGTATTTCACAATTAATTTACCAATAATTCAATAAATGTGAAATACGGCTCTAAAATGGCCTCGAATACCTTAATTGGGGCTGAAAACAGGTCCGAAAGGGTCGAAACAGTGGAAACCAGGCTGGAAACAGGGGAGCCGAGTTAAACAGTCGCTGGGAGCCACCGAGCCAAGGGACCACCTGCGCCGCTGTGTGCCACGTTGCAGACGCAGAGTGTGCGGTAAGCGTCAGGTCGAGGCGCGAGTCACATTGCAGTTCGGGTCGGCTGCTGCAGAAGGCTACTAGGCTGGGCTGGTTGTTGGGCCTCGGTTTACTGGATTAGGCCGCAAGCGTTTGGGTTGCAGGTCGGTTCGATTGGACTGTGGGTCTGGTCTCAGGTCGGTTCAGCTGAACCGTGCCTCCTGGGCTGGATTGAGGTTTGGGCCGCTGTAGTTGGACTCGGTCGAAGGCAGAGGCTGAGGGGAAAGAAGTCGGGCTGCTCTACCGAGTTTTGGGTTTGGGAACCCAGATCCGTGGATCTCGTCTTCCTTACTCGACTTTGGCCGATTTTTTTACGCGTTTTCTCTCTCCTTTCCGCAACGTTTTCGTTGTCGATTTCGGTCCTCTTTCTTCCTTTTCCTCTCTGTTTGTCATCCTTCTTTCCTTCCTCGAAGTTTAGTGGCCCAAAAGTTCCTAAAACCACAGATCTAAGAACGTTTAGGAAAACCCAATTTTTCGACCTCGGTTACCGACGCCGGCGCTTACAAAAAGGCACAAAACATTCCCTGAGTTATTGTGCTTTCGTTAGGGATCATTCTCATGGTAGTAACTGAGCGTTTGGTGTCGGTTTTAGGGTGGTTTGGGGCTCGTCGGAGGAATTGGAAACTCGCCAACGTTATCCGAAATCTCTCTCTCTCGTATTTTCGTTCTTTTCTCTGTTTGCAGGTATTCTGATCAATTCTGGGAGTCGTGGGCTGAAGGTTGAGCGAGATGTGGTTGTCGCTTCGCGTGGGGTCTGCGAAACTTGGCACGAGTTTTCGGCGACTGAGTTTTTTTTCTTCTTTTTCTTTTTCTTTTTCTTTTTCTTTTTCCCGAGCATTACATCCCTTATATGTTGTGCAAAGTTGAGATTCAAGAAAGAGATGCATTAAATGCAATTTAAGTTGCATCTAATGAACTCAGCTAAATTTATGGAACTAATACAAGGATGACTTATAAACACATTTTACTCATTACACTATTTAATTATAATTTAAATATTTATTTGTCATAAGCTTAACAGAGGAGTTAAGGTTTTATTGTAACCCACATAGGTTACCATACTCCACCATTAACGGCCAAGGTGGTAAAGGCTATATAAATTTCTTTTCTTGGACTAGAGAGCTCACATTTTGAAATTAAAAAGAATAAAATTTCTATTTTTTTTTATCGTTGAGAGCTAAGATTTTCTTTACAAATTCTTATATTTAGAACTTGCATGCTAGAATAATGCAACTGTTATTAATAACAAAATTTGTGGTGTAATTCGAATCACAAGTGGTATTTCAAAGCTCACACCTTACAATTGAAATATAACCAACCTTAGAATAAACAACACAAATTCTAAATCTCGCTCGGAATATGACCATACATAAAAGCTCGCTCGAAATCAAGAGCAGAATCACCCGTTGCGGATTTAAATATAAGTAATTTAAAAAATGCATTTCAGTTTTTAGATTTATATATATATATTTCTTTATATGTAGTAGCCTTTAAATAATTTTAAATTTCTTTTTCTAACTAATATATTTTAGTTAATAATTTAATCTACCTGTATCCGAGATATAATTCGTAACCGATCAATAATTCTTCTCAACGGTCGTCTTTTCAAATATTCAAAATGCAAAACCACAGAAACCAATAACATCCGATCATCCCATCTCTTTCCTATCTCTCCCACAGGGCGCACACAAATTTTGAAACCATTTCCTCTCCTTCTCTCTCAAGAAACAAAATCGAAGAATCCCAGCTGGTTCTTCTTCAAAAATGGCGTACAGGGAAGAGGAAAAAATCCCAGTCTTTTCCGTCCTCAAGAACGGCGCGATTCTCAAGAACCTCTTCCTAGTCAACAATGTTACAGATCGAGAGAACGAGGAGACAATAGTTCTCGGACGACACCCAGATTGCAACATAATGCTTACTCATCCAAGCATTAGCAGATTCCATCTTCAAATCCATTTGAATCCCTCTTCGCACAAGGTTTTTGTTGTGGATTTATCATCAGGTAATTCTAAATTAATAATGCGATTTTCCGTTTCTTGCTCATTTCGTCGATTCTTGGGCTCTAATGGATTGTGGGTCTTGTTTAGTCCACGGAACGTGGGTTTCAGGGAAGAGGATTGAAGCAGGGGCTAGAGTGGAGATGAGGGAAGGGGATACTCTCAGTGTTGGTGGCTCCAGCAGAGTTTATAAGCTTCATTGGGTTCCTTTGAGAGATGCTTATGATTTTGAATGTCCTAAAGAAAATAAGGAAGAGGAACTTGCAATTATAGACGAGAAGGCCGTGGAGGATTGCGAGGTAATGTCTGCCTGTAAGGTGTTTGTGAAAATGTTTCTGGGTACTTCGAACATTTAATAGGTAACTGAGGTCTAAGATTATGTAATAAATCCCTAAATTTCATTTTCGCATTCCTTATGTGCCTGTCATAACTTTTTTTTAGTGAGACACAAAATTGAAACTTTATGAAATTATTAGGAAAAGTTCATATAAATACATCAAACTTGAAAGTCATTTAACTTTTTTTTAACTTACAAAGACATGGTTTGATATTACATAGAAGAATGGAGTTAGTTTGTTTAAATTTGAAGTGTGTTCTCTTGTTCTTATTAAATGGATTGTTCTACAGAAGGAGATCTCATTATCAGATGAAAATAAAGAAACTGTGGAGGATTCAGTTTCTGATTCTATTGTGCCTTTATATTCTGATGAGAGTTGGAACATGGAGTTGATAAAGGAAGTCAGTGTAGCACCTCCATCTGGAGAAGTTGAAGGCATGGTTGTGTCTTCTGTCAATGAATGTGGAAAGGAGGAAACTAGTTTGTTTAGCATACCATTTGGAAATGAACTGAAAAGCTTGGAAATGAGCCTTCAATCCCCTTGTCTGCCTCTTTCAGCTGATAATCTGTCTTTTAATGTTGAAAACATTATCATGTCTTCAATCTTTGATAGTGAAACCGAGAGTTCCTCTTGTAATATGTTTGAGTGGGAGGAAACTAATTCAAACATTTTGCCTGTGGTTGATGTTATTACCACTTCAGAGAATGGATATCAACAATTAGACAATGAAAAGGAGAGCCTGCAACCCCCTTCCATGTCTGTTTGTAAAGGGAATGTTTCTGATATTGAAGACACTTCAATAGAAATGAGAGCTCATCTAGAAATGAGTTTGAACATCTACGAGAGCTCATCTAGAAATGAGTTTGAACAGATAGAAATTAGTAATGTAGCTGTGGTTGATGATGAGAAGCCTCAACCATTCGACATTGAAAGTCGACAAGTTCTTGCAGAGAGGAATTCATCCTCGAACGTTGGGGATGTTGTAGAAATCCAATATGTAGCACCAGATCAAGAAGTAAAATCAGAAACTGCCACAGAAAAGAATGAGTTCATGGAGGAACGTGAGCTGCTGCATCCTCTAGAAGACAATCACTCTTCAATTAGCACAGAACAATGCCTTCAGGACATGGAAATGCTAAGCAAAAGCCAAGCTGAAATTGGGGAAGATTATGTAGATAAAAGAAATGAAGAGTTATATACTGCAAGACTAGAAACATTTGAACCGAGCGAAAGTGTAGCAGAGAAAGATTATGAACATAAGGAACTCTCAGAGCCCAGTTTTTTACCTTGTGCAACAGACCTTGTTGACGTTGTTGAGGTTTGCTCAAAGATTGCAGTTAAGAAAGAAATCCAGACATTACATGAAAATGTAGAAGCAACTTCGCCCACAAGATCAGAGAACGTATCAGCCATGGGAGGAAGCATTTGGTTAAGAAGAGGTAGACCAACTGGTTTTCCTCGAGTTGAAATAGGAGCGAGTCGAGAAAATCGAGCAGGGACTTCATTAATGGATGAAATGAGTTCTGAGATAACAGGAGATGAAACAGTGACAAATACTCTTCTCTCTGATTTGGGTGGGGAGGAGGAAGAAGAAATGTTTACTCCAGACAAGGAGAATTTCACACCAAACACACTTTTGATGAAATCATTGAACAAGAAGGCTACCATAGAAAGCAGTGGGGATTCCTTCAGGTCATCCAAGTCCCAAACATCAATGTTCAAGTCTAGACATAATGTGAAACAAGAAGAAGAGCTAAGTGAAGAATCAGACAAAGAGAACCAAACTCCCAGAGCTCTCCAAGAACAAAAACTGGCAAAACAAATCTCTAAGAATAGGAAGTTTGGAAAGGAAAAGTTATTGATAAAGAGAGGAGGAATGGAACGGGCACCGTTCCAATCATTGCAGTTGAATTTGGCCGAAAAGAAGAGACCGGAGGCTACTTCTGCCAGAAAGAGTAATATAGCTATGTCGACAGGGGCCATGAAGGTCAGTTTATCAAATATTTCTCACATGTTTGTAAATGATTCTATAAAGAACATAAGCTTAGTAAGTGTTTCTTTGCAGAAAAAACTCACAGTAGAAGGGAAGAAGCGTTGGACTATGGTTGTGGACATCAATTCTCTTCTGAACAAGGAATCAATGAAGTCACTACAGCGTTTACAAGGTCTCCAAGGGACACATTTGATCGTTCCGCGAATTGGTAACGAGTTCGACAAGTTTACACTTTTTTCTGTGTGATCAAAGCTGTCTAATGTTCTTATGATTAATATAATCAATTCTTATTGGAATCAGTCATAAGGGAGCTGGATTGCTTGAGACGACACGGTCGCCTCTTCCGGAAAACAACAGAGGCAGCTTCAGTTCTTGAATGGATTGAAGATTGCATGGTGAAAACAAGATGGTGGATTGATGTTGAGAGTTGGGAAGAAGGCAGGCCTGCTGCAACACCTCCGGCTACTCCTCAAGCTCCATACACTGAGGAGAGCAGTGAGAGTTTGCTGTGGAGGACATCAAGCAAAATCCAGTCCATTGCTGCACAGCGAAGTTTGATGGAAGCTCTTTCACCAACTCCAGAAGATCATATCCTTGACTGTGCTCTTCACGCTAGGAGGAGGGCAGTGAATCATGGACAACTTGTTGTGTTAAGCGATGATGTGACCCTGAAAATAAAAGCCATGGCTGAGGTACTCTACTATCTCTATACCAGGGTTAGATTGTGATATCCCTCACATTGGTTGGGGAGGAGAACGAAACACCCTTTATAAGGGTGTGGAAACCTTCCCTTAGTAGACGCGTTTTAAAGCCTGGAGGGGGGAAGCCTGAAAGAGAAATCTCAAAAAGGACAATATCTGCTAGCGGTAGGCTTGGGCTGTTACACATAGCTACAAACATATTGAATTTTGTTGTTTTGTAGGGACTAATTTGTGAAACGGCCAAAGAATTCAGGGAAAGTTTAGTGAATCCATTTTCAGAGAGATTCTTGTGGGCTGATAGCTCTCCAAGGGGACTTACTTGGTCTTGCCCTGATGATGTTGTCTTGAGGGAACGGTACGATCGATGCTCGTCGAGGTCGTCGAAAGGGTCCGAGGGAGCCAAGGGCCTGAAGCTCATTTTGCTTCACAACTCCCATTATGGAGTGTCCAGATAAGAGATTTCTGTTATCTCTTGTAACAACAGACTCTGTTTTGCACACTCTCGGAAACTGCTGGTTTTTTAGTAAATTTTGCAATCAATATGGAATTATATACAGTTTAGTAACATACTAAATTCTAAGGAGGGAAAGATATTTTACTTTTAAACTTTTAAAAGTACGACTTGAGGCTTCCATTTTTTGACCGTTGGTGCTTGTTTTTAAAACAGTTATTCTTGTTTATGTCCAAATCACTTGAAGTTCTAGTTATTGGTTCAGTTATCCCACATTGATCATCTCCTTGGAATGCGATCGACATCAAGTCCTTAAAGGCTCCTACTTATGACACAAGGGAATGAACTCTTTATCGATATAGCAAAAACATTTGGAACGGTTTTGATTTTATTAAACATTAAAAGAAAACAATAAATATGAGGACAAAAGTTCTACCTTTGCAGAAATGGTAGCTTGCAACCCTCCTTGAATTATTTCAAGGACGTAGAAGTTCTTCCACATTCCACAAATTTTTTCTTATTATGACTCGAACATAAGATCAAGACTCGTGAGAACCTCTTTTAAAAGAAAATCTTGAAGGATAGGAGTAGGAGAGAATTCTCCCTGGGAGAAAATGTAAGAGATCAATATGACATTTTGGTTCAACCTAAAGGTACTATTTACGGTTACTCTTACAGAATTTTTGTCAAATAATATATTTAAATATCTATTATATTAGGATATAATATCTTATTATATTTAAATATTATAATATATCCAAATATATATTAAACTAATTTCTTATTCAAACTTCAAATATATATTTTTTATTTAATGTATCTCATCTGCATTTAAAATATCTAATATATTAAATATCTAATTTCTTGGTGTTTCTAGAGCTAGCAGGAGACCTTATGAAGCCATCGATAAGCTCAAATAATACAATTATCATTTATTAAATATATGTCACTCCACTAAAGGTAGAGATGCACTTTTATGCATTGAATGACAATTTAATGACAATTTAGGTTGATTGCTATAATCATTACAAACAACTCATACGTCTAAATCAAAAATTCGTTTTACCTCTGTAATTATATCTTTCACCCTAAGTACATTGATTCTCTGATGAACAATTTATTTATGATCCAATCATAAACAAGTTCTTCTCAGGCTAGGGAGGGTGATGCTCCATTATTCAAGTCCCAAAATCAGCATCGAATAGAACAACTCATCTACTTTCCTTATATCGAAAGAAGTGAATTTCATCTCATGATATTATGTTTCCCGCTCCATATTTGGTCAAGTCCCCACAATGGTAAACATATTGAATCAGCTACAAGAGTCATTCTCACCCATACAAACCAAAGGATAAGTACTCACAGGCAGAAGTTCATAACTCACTCAGGATTAAGATCGAGTCTCTACAAATCATCATGTGAAATATTAATCTTCTCAATTAAAGAATTATAAAGAGAGATTAAATATTTCTTGGTCAAGTTTATACAAACTCATTGTATAGGATACCTCCACTCACATGTCTCTACATGAATTATTTGTATTAAATCATTTGTAACAATTATTATAGTATAGTGGTAAGTATTGTTGACGGTCATAATCCCCAATTTCTTTTGAGAGATTAGTTGTTGTATTTATTCTTCAATTTCAATTGACCTAACTATGAAGTTTCTATCGACCTTGGTGGAGGATATCTAGGTTACTAAGAGATTTTTATTTGTTGTATTTATTCTTCAATTTCTATCAACTGGACTATGAGGTTGGTAGAGGATAGCTTGGTTACTAAGAGATTTTTGGCAAGCCAAAATGAACATATCATTTAATCCCGCTAGGAGATATTTAGAAAACCTAAATCAACAGGTCGTTGTAGTATAGTGGTAAGTATTTTTGTGGTGTAGGCGACACATCATTCAAATTTCTGCCCTATCAACTTTCAATGGTAGGTTAGTGGCCTACTATGGTGGTGGTGGGTGACAAAGAATTAGGGCTCAATTATGAAGAAAGAGCCTGAGAAACGGCTACCACATCTAAGGAAGACAGTAGGCGCGCAAATTACCCAATCTTGACATAGGGAGGGAGTACAATCTAAATCTCTTAACGAGGATCAATTGGAGGATAAGTCTGGTGCCAGCAACCGTGGTACCTAGTTGATCTTGCGAGTAGTCATATGCTTGTCTAAATAATTAAGTTAGGCATGTGTAAGTACGAGCTAATTCAGATGGTGAAACTATGAATGACTCATTAAATTAGTTATAGTTTGTTTGATGGTATTTGCTACTCGGATAACTGTAGTAATTCTAGTACGTGCTCCAAACTGTGGGTGACCCAGATTTGATCTTCGACAACAGCATTCTATATTTGATCGAGAGATATCATAGTTAGTCGATATGAAATATTTGCTATATTTATTCTTTGATTGGAAGGTAGTTAGTTGAACTTGGATTTTTGGCAAGCCAGGTGATTCAGGTTCAATCCCTGATTTCTTTTTAGAGAATATTTTTTATATTTATTCTTCAATTTTTATCGGCCGACCAGACTATAAGGTTGGTGGAGAATAGCTATGTTAGCCAAAATGAACATGTTATTTGATTCCGACAATCGGTTTGAATTTTTATTTTCATTTTTATATAATCAATAAGTTGTTGTAGTATAGCGGTAAGTATTCTTACATGTCATGCTGGTGACCGGGTTTGATTCTCGACAATGGCATCGTTTTTATAAAATCTTAAAAATAGCCGATTGACTCGAAGATTTTTGGCATGTTAAAATTACTCAATCATTGTGGTACAGTGGTAAGTATTCTTGATTATCACACAGTTGATTTGAGTTTCACCTCATCATTGGACATAATTGCCGCTCAGACCAAAAATCTCAAACCCAACACGAACGATGGCGAGGCATGCAAAGGAATAACCAAGCTATCTTGGTTTTTTATTTTTTTTTTATTTTTTTATTTTTATGTGTCGTCATTGAGGATGTAAATTCTGAAGAAAAAATAACACCGAAAAACTCACGATTTCAAGTGCATTAAGATATGATATGATATGTTTGATGATATGATACATGATATAGTATGATATGACTGATGATATAATACATATTATGATATGGTATGTTGAAGGATATATTATTTGCATGATATGATATAACACGATGTATGACATGAATGACACATAGTGAAGATGTTTTGACATGATAACAATCTCGAAATATGTTTTAAATGCTATGTTATAAAATGATATGATATGAAGAAAAATGGAAGGGGTTGTCTTACCTGACTTAATTAATGTGAAAAATGTCGGACCTCATGCATTATTATATGTCACATTCATCGAGAGATTTTTTCCCTTATGAGTATAGATGGGTACATTATGAGAAAAAAAAAATAATCATCATGTTTAACATGAACATGATGTTACGACGGTCACTACTCCTATCGGATGTCCGCAATGCTAGTCTGATCAAAAAAGGGCCGACGAGGTGTGCGAACCGACTGGTGAGTCTATCTTCGTACGTACGGGCCCTGTGTAGAAAAATGAAATAAGTATGAAAGTTCTTGTGGGTCGTCCTAGGAAGAAAATAATAGTTTTTTTAAAATAAAAAAAAATTTTAATTTTTGAATTATGGGAGGTTGAAAATAATGCAGACACAAGGATTAAAGCAAAATAATTCATTTAGGGGCTGAGGAAGCTACAGAAGTACACCATGTTGCAATTTTACAGAAAGCCAAAGGGGCTAAGGAAATATTATTCATTCAAGGTTATTACAGCTTGACTCTGCGCCAGATTTTTGGTTGTAATTGCTAGATGTCGGGATAAGGAACGAAAACGCATTCTCTGCGTTCTCGAATGGTGGTCGAGGAAACTCGTGATAGCCACCAAAATTACACGGATCGAAGTTCAATGGCGAGAAATATGTAAGAGGATCATCAACACCACCTTTTGCATCTGCTGCTGCTATGGTTTCAACTGAACTTCCTCCCGAAGCAATCGACCCGAAACTGAAATTTATACTCCCGAGCTTATTCGCTGTTTCGTAGCGTTCTCCTCGATCACAGGACATGGCTGTTCCCTTGGATTCTTCGAGAGGAATTGCAGGAGTGTGGCCTTGGAAGAGAGCAATGTGTCCAAACAGCTTGTCTTTCCTAGAGAAAGTAGTCCCACAAGAACACAGCCACTTATCTTTCCCACAGTGCTTTTCGTGTGTTTTGAGATCAGCAATTACTGAGAACTTCTTGGAGTTGCATTTGCTGCAAGTGAAGCTTTTGTCACAGTGAGTTCTCTTGTAATGGTTTTTAACACACAGAATAGTTTTTAGAGGCTGAAACTTCTTATGATCCTTGTTCCGTTTGCACCCGGTGAAGGGGCACGAGTACCTCTTAATCAGCATCGTCTCATAACTCGCTTCTTTGTTCGGCTTTGCAAGAGCAGCAGCGGTTTTGTATTCGTCACCGTGACCCCTCATATGCATTCGTAAATTTGCATCCCTCTTGAACCCTTTTCCACATATTGCACAGAAGTGAGTGTGAGGTGCTAGGATCTCTTCTTTTTCTAGTTGCAATATTTCATATGAACCTGGGGGGAGGTTCTCGCTTTCGTCTGCGTCTTCTTCATCCTTTGATTCGTGTTCTTCAATCCGTTCCTTCCCATACTTGCTACTCTCGTCTACTTGGGTTGGAACCTCGGGAAGTTTAGTTCCATCACCATGTTGCGACTGAACAACGCCATTATTCGTCCCAGATTCAGATGCAAAAAGAACCCTGTCGAGTGGCGGCTCCAGCTGCCCGACCAGAGGAACAGCTGCAGAAAAGTTATGCTTTACAGAAGGAAGCAGACTACCTGCTGTTGAGATTAACTGAACAATAATTGAAGTTAGATCAGCAGTTATCAGCTGCTGTTGCTGAACTACGAGTTCATCTGGCCTCCCCAACACTTGGCTCCTCCGGCCAATGATCAAATGCACAAGTTCCTGAAGCTGATGAACCTTCTGCTCAAGAAAAGACAGATTACTTAGCATCGCTCTTGGGTCCCAATCTTGAACCTTACTGCCTAGAATTGCTGCATTCATCTGATCACTATCTTTATTCAGGATTCCAATTTGTTGATTCGAGCTACGCGTTAAGGATGCCTTCGATTCAGTCTGTTCTTCATATTCTTGAAAGGGCTGGTCCATAGCATAGTCTAAAATGGAAGTATCTACCCATTTCTGTTCAGGTTGCTGGGCATCAATATTAGGAAACGATGAAGATTTTGTCCAAACTTCAGAACTACACAAACTATCTTCCGGATCCATCTTCAAAGATTCAGTACTGTTTGACTTGGATCTACAACGAGTTTCAAACAAATTCTCCAACTCAGTTGAAAGAAGGCCAAAGCAATCAGTTTCAACAACTTATTTTGAGCACAGAAGAGTTCAAGTTCATAATTCAGAAAGAAAGTCAACTGGCTCGAAAAGAGGAAAATACACAAAATATGAATCTCGTAGTCAAATCCCTAAATTGAGCCCTAATCCACTTCATTCCATTGATTAATCCCTTCAAACATTCAACATATACTCCACTTTCAAATCTAAATCAACAATACAAATCATACTTTCCAGATTAATGTTGACGAAAAACAAACAAACAAACAATCAGACACTTGCAAACATCTTGTCTCTCTTTCAATCATCCCCAAACATCATCATAAACTCCAAATTAATTCCATCTCAATCAACCAACACATAGAACGAAAACACCGATAAACAGAATTCAAACGAAATCAAGAGAATCCAATCCAAACAAGCGCGATTGCTAAAATCCAGAAGAAGGCATGAGAAGAATTACCGATTTACCGATTCGCGATTGTTTCTGAGACCCGTTAGAAGTTGAATCAATCTGCTCCAAAAACAAAAACAAAAACAGAGAGAGAGAGGGAGAGATAGAGGAAGCGAAAGTGAAGTGGGTTATAATTAAAGAGGAGGAAGAGCAGCCTGTGATGACTTTCTGGGGTCTGGGCTTCCAAAATGGAATGCTGAGATGGGGGTGGGGGATCGGTCAACCCCAGGAATCAGGGCCGTGGAGTGGAGGATTGAAGAACGAGAGCCGTGGATTGGTGGGATTTTGAGTGGATTTGGAAGCAGGGGATTAGAGGAAGAGGGAAGAAGACAAGAAGGGAGGGAAATGGGACCCATCCAAGTTGAATGATTCTTCTCCATTGGAGTGAAGAATGGAGAGTGTGTTGAAATTGGAACCTAAAAAGGAAGGGAAATGGGTTGGGAATCATAACCGGGGAAGGTTCAGACCGAGTGGGAGCTCTTTGAACCACGGTCATAATATTTCTCTACTAGGAAGGCTCGTTAGCGTTTCTCTAGGCTTGACCATTGTAGTATATGCATATGCATATGTGAAAATCAATAGAGAAAAATAATGAAAATGATATCATTGTAGACACGTTTATATACAACATGTATAGAAATAGATGCATGAGGTCCCACGTTAAAATCATGGTTTATCATGACTTAAATTCTTTACTAGATATGGATACGTATTGGTTCATCATGGTGTCACACAAGATGGAAACATGGTCATATCGACATAGCAATCATATCATAATCGTTTATTTAGATATCAAAACGTAAATAAAAATATATGAATAGGGTCACGGGATGCAACTTAACCCGTAGGAGTTCCAATAATAACTTGTTCCTCATATGCTAATCCTAACATATTGTTCCTAGGTTATCACAACTCGATTTTATAGGTTTGACACTTCGTCTGTGATAAAAAAGACAAAAGACCAAAAGTAAATTAAAGAAAAAGTAAAATAAAATAAAGGGTAGAAATATGGTGAATTTAAATAAAAATAAAGACAAACAACAACATTAAAAAAAATGAAATCAAATTAGAAGACGATGTCGATGTTGTTCAAATTTATTATAAAGGAGAAAATGAGATTGAGATAAAATTATAGAATGAAATACAAAAGACTCAATATACAAAGAAGGATTGACGTTTTGGAATGACCCCCTTTGTGATCGCGTATTTCTCAAACGCCCCCAACCAACTCGACTAGCAGCTTGCAAACACCTGAAAAAGAAGGAAAATGGATGGGTACAAAAAAGAAGTCTTGAGTCGTTTCTACCCTCAATAGAAGTACTCACCCTAAGCCATCTACTTATGTAGTCCTAGTGATAATGATCACGATGTTTAAAATGTTCCAAGTGCATCTATTACACGATCCAAGGCAAAGAAGATTCAACAAGAATTCATTTTTCATCTACTGGATAGGTTCTGTTCAATCATTATTGCATGTGTTATAAGCTAATTCAATTGAGGACCATTTAGAGCTTCGGAAGTCAATATTAGATGAGTTGCTATCAATTACATTTGATTGATAATGAGTTAAAAAAAACTTTATTAATTACATTTGATTGATAATGAGTTAAAAAAAACTTTATTTATTATTTTAATTTTATAATTTCACGTGGTGGGCAAAAGGGCAGGGAATTACTTGTGAAAGTTTTTTTTTTTTTTTTTTTTTTTTTTTTTGATATAGAGAGGAGTGGAAACTATAAATACCCTCCCATGACCGTATAAAATACATCGATGTATGAAATTTAGCTATCAAAGTGAGGTATTTAGCCTTATAAATTTTAGGGTTACTTTTGTCAGTTTCATTTAATTCTTGTGGTAAATTGCATCTTAGCCATTCAATCAAGTGTTGACCAAGTTCGATGGTAAGTATTGACCAAGTTCAATGGTGGAGTGACTCAGTTTAGAACAATGTCAAATTCAATAAGTGTTTGACCAAGTTGGATTGTGTGTTAACCAAGTTGGATCGTGAAATGACTCAATTTAGAACTAAGGTGCCAAAATAAGTGTTTGACCAAGTTGGATTGTGAAGTGACTCAATTTAAAACTAAAGCGAGTAAGTGTTTGAATAAGTTGGATTGTGGCGTGACTTGATTTAGAACAAGGTGCCAAATTTTGATTCAAGATCTTTTATGGTAAGAAGTAATACATCATCATATAACTAGTGTAATACATCATTTAAATATTTAATCAAATTCTTGCATTTCGTTGGGTGCGTAACAAAAAAAAAAAAAAAGATAAAATTTTTTTTTTCACTCTTTTTTCAATTCTTTTTTCTCGTACTCTTTTTTTTTTTCAACTTTTATTGATCAGCAAATACATTTACATAACTCGGAAGTACAAAGTGAATTTTCTACCCTCATAAAAGAATATCTATTTAAATAACCATCATACATGACTTTCCTATCAAATTATCAAGGTCAACCGAGCGATATGTTCCCAACAAGCATTAGTAACACATAGCACATCACAACGAACTTTATCTTCGTATTTTCCCAACGTAAAAAAAATCTTGAGAAACTACCTTCATTGTTCCACTATCATTGAGCCATTGAAACACCTAAGGTTTAAGATGATGTTGAGTTAGAATTTGCAACCTCTTAATCGACATCGTACTTGCAACATTGGTGCATCTTCCACCATCAATGACAAGGCTTGGAGTCTCCTGCTGAGTATTTTTCGAGTAAAGGTAAGGCGCTCATATACAAATGATGGTGGCATCTTAAGTAGAGACCATGACACGTGCATAGGGTAATACATGTTTAAATTTCTAGTCATAACTTAGAATAAGTTGTATTGCATTTCACGTTATTTTAATTTATTTCCATTTATTTTGTAATTGTTTTCCAATTTTTTTTTTTCAGTATTATGTGTTAGAACACGTAAAACCATGACATTGTTTTAAAGTTGAAGATGTTTTAAATTTGTTCGAAAGTTATGCTATTTATGATGTCGTTTGAAAGAGTATGTTCTGCATATGAGCGAACTAGTAGAAGTTAGTAATGCCTATGACTATGTATAAATTTAGGTTCGTTACATTTATTTTATTACCATAAAATATTTATTTATTTTGCAACAAAAAAAATATGAATAATTCCTAAAAAAAAATATTTTTTAAAAATTTACCTAATGTTTTAACCTTTAAAACTATATTTATTTTTTATTTTTTGAAATTTAAAAAATAGTGAAACTTTAAAATATTTTTTTTAATAAATTTAGCCCATATTTTATTCAATTATTAAAAAAAAAAATTGAACTACTAATATAGATGATGTTATTATTATTTTTTTCTATTTTATTTATTGATTGATTTGGTAGGGATGAGTTGAAAATTTTGTGGTGAGATATGAAATATTTACTCCTAATCGAACACTACTTAAATGTATAATACTATAATTCTAATTATTATTTTTAGATTATTGTTAACAATGGTAGTACAGTAGAATCATTATATAATATAAAATTAGAAATCAAAATGAAATATATTGTTTATAAAACTAGAAATCAAAATGAAATAAATTATTGTTACCATAGTAGTAATCATTATATAATATAAAATTAAAAATTAAAATGAAAATTTATTTCATCCCAATTTATTTTGATTAGAGATATAGGAAAGAATTAAGGCCTATTTTATAAATAATTTTTGATTGGGTTAATATAAGAATATTATTCTAAAATAAATAAAACAATATTATTTGATTTTTTTTTTCAAGTATTTATATTAACAACCAAAATAAAAAAATATATATATTATATTGTTTACAAAATAGATAATATTGTTATTAGTTTTTCTCCTAGCAACATGAAACCATCTTTAATATAATAAAACAAATCTAACAATTTTTTTATCAATGCTCAAATCTCTCTATGTTTTCACAAATCAATTGAAATTTTTAATAAAATATATGACTATGATTTGATTTAGTTAACAAATAATTTATTAATAATCTTGTAACTGAATTAAATTAACCTAAAAAATATAATAAAAAAATAAAAAAGTATATATTGACATATATTTAAAGGAAAGGTTTATATATTTAAACGGTATAAATTCAACCTTTTTAAAAAAAAATATTTTAAAATTGAGAATTTAACTTATTATTTTTCTCAAATAAATTTTAGAATACGAGTGTTGTACTATTAAAAAAAGATATGTAATGTATGTAAAAGAAGGTAAAAACCTCCGTTAATTTAAAATTTAAGAAAAAATAGAGGAAAACTATCCATATACAATATATGTATAAACATTATACATACATGTTTTATATATATATACATACATGTTTTATATATATATACATACATATATATATATAATAAATAAATAAATGATGTAATAGAATTTAATTTGTATTTCTTATGAAATGACATTTTTTTTGTTTTAAAAGTATGTTTAAATTTCTTAAAATAGAAGTGTTTTTAAATAATTATTTATAAATTTAAAATACATAATAAAAATATTAATTTTCAATAATTATTTATAATTTATCCCATAAAATAATAAATATTTTATTAGCGGTAAAGAAATAGACATACCAAAGTAGTAAACAGGTTTAATGTCTATATTTATTATTTTTTCTAAAATAAATGGTAGGTTTACTTTCTCTACTATCGTATCCACGTTCCCAACATTTATGTTATTTTTTTTTATAGTACTATTTTCTTTACCAATATCATACTCAAACCAAAATTTGGAAAATATAGTTTTATCGTTCTAAAGTATAAATTTTAAGTTTGTAAAATTGTGAAAGCTAATCAGCAACTTTCGAAGTTAAAATGTTATTCGGGATGTTATTATTATGCCTAGGGTACAAACTTTCCGTTTGTAAAAATTATAAAAGTTAACCAACAACTTTCGAACCTAAAGTGTTACTCGGAATTGGTTATATTAAAGAGGAATATTTATGTGGACCAAAACAAGGTTGCTACATCTTTTTAGTACCTATTATATTTTTGTACACTTTTTTTTTATGTTGCATAATTTAATAGGTAGAGGTTTATGATTCTTATTAATATATGAAATTATGTTTGGGTTTAATGTTTGTGTAAGAATGTTTTCATTTAAAGGATCCTTGTGCAAGTAAAGAATGTTATCACGTGAAGGATCCTTGTATAAGTAAGAACATGTATGTATGTCAATATGTGTAACAGTGCGCTTCAGCACACATCAACGTAATACAAAAGTAATTGTTGGTTATTCTTACCAAAGTTATCACTAATTTTGACCTTTTCAATAAGATAATCTTTCTCGGTTTCAGCTCTCTTCTTGTTATAGACAATATTTTGACTTATTTTTGCATAACCTTTATCTTTCCAATTCTTT